TGATTTTACAACATAGCTTGATTCATGACTAGTGCTGTGATAAATGGCCGAATTATTGAACCAGGAGTAGCGATGTGAAATAAATCTGTATGTGAGACTGAAGCTATGATGTACTTTGACTTAAACTATATTAACATTTGATAATTCAGTCTGTGTTCTGTTTTTTAGATATTATTCCTTTGGTCTTTGGTCAACAACAAGAAAAATGTATGATATGATATATAATTGTTCAATATATGTATGTATCTGTATAATATACATTCATGTTTTGCTTTTTTCCAGACTGATAGGGTTCTTCTGAACTTGACTTTCACCTGTTTTGCTTATTCATTACACTATAAAACTCCCATAGGCTCTTTTAAGCTTTTTTGGTATAGTTTGACTGAATTAGTCAAATAGAATACCAAATTTTTCAGTGCAATGATGAGACTGTAAAATCAGGAGCATGTTACACGCCAAGCAGAAGATGTGTCTTTGATTCTGGTTGATAGGAGGCCGAGTTTCACCTAAACGTACTCAAGCAGAGAAATAATGGTATCGTACACTGGCTGTGAAAAGCAATAGGGAAGCAGAGGGGGGTGCACATTAAAAGTGTCTCTCTAGGTAGCTGACATGACGCGACTAGTCAGACGTGAATAATGACAGACGGAGACTATCATGAGGTCTGTGAAGCATCCGCCTGCTGCCATCATTTTCTGTCTAACCTTGCATTTCCAAAAGCACCAGTGCCCAGATCATTTAAAACTGACTAACAACATGGCAGTCCCACCTCTATGACCACAGGCTTCTGAATCAGTAGAATAATAGAAAAATATGATGATACATTCCCTTAAGTGGAGATAGCATTTTCGGAATTATTATTATTTACTAATATAGATTTCTATAGTTTGGATGTTTTTTCTTTTTAATTCTGGAGTATTGTGTTTGTGGGCCTTCCATTACGTGTACCAAAATACTGCTGATGTGAAAAATAGCGTTCATTTTTCTCTTTAAGTGGATGTGTCACAGTCTGAACAAGGCCAAAATGATGATACAAGAGGACTAAAAGTTAATATCAATCCTGAGAATGACCTGCTGCTTCCCCTGGTTGGCTTTTTAATTATAGTTAGCTCATATGACATGCAGCCGCTTTACTACTGTACCTTTAAATCAAAATTAAATCAGGTAGCATGGCACACGCAATTGTAAAAGATCACCCCAATTCGATAATGTTTATTTTTGCATTACATTGCGGGACATGGTGAGAGTAATTTATTTTAGTGCCGTGTTCACAGCACACTGACCCTCAACGCATATAGGAAAACCGCATTTGTCTCTAATGCCTTTATGGTGTTTGATATGTATGATTAGGTGATAGGTTTAAAAGTTCTTGCTGCTGGATTGCCATCATTTCTCATGCAGATATGTTGCGTTTAAGTGCTCTATACTGGAATAAATGGATTTTTCATAGATTGTCTCAGCTGAGTGGGCCCATGGCTTCAAAACACTGCAGCCCCAACCATTCTGCTATATAATTAAAATCATCTTTGGGGACATGTTTTGCTCCGCACTCCAAATTTGAAACTTAAAAAATGGCATGGTAATGTATTAGCATAATGTAACAATAAGCCCCACTCAACAAATTTATTAGCCTCAATTCTGAAAAAGCCACAGCAAAGCAACTTGCATACTATAATTGGCATCTTGTGGTTTCCTTTCCTGAGGAGAAAGTGAATTTTCTATGCTTTTATAATAAATAGCATATTTAAGCACCCAGGAAATCACCGCAAGACATCCATCCTCCTTCGTTTCATTTATTCTGGTGTGTTTAATTAAAGCTCGGAAACTACATGCAATTTGTGTCTGTACAGTGTCTAATGTCTGAGACTGGTTATTAGATATTAAATTGATGCATAATTCAGGCAATTAAGAAAGTAATCACACAAAGTAATGTAATGGAAGTTAATTATTACTGCATAAGCAAACAGTTCATCAATGCTAGTTAAAGCTGTGACTGCATCCCTAATATGCTCACCAAGCACGGAAATTCCTCTCCCTCAATGTTGTGATGTGCTGATTAAACATAGTAGAGGCACATTAGAGAGAAGGAGTGGCTGTGCAACAGGATATTTAGAACAAGCTGATCTAGCCTTTATCACAGGTACTCCTGCTGCACCGGCCTTTGACTTATATCCTTATTTATAGGCTGTTATTTCATTTGTCCTTTTTTTTTTTTATCAAGCTTCCATATAAAGTCTATCTAAGCTCTTAAATCAACTGTAAAGTCATATGCACAGCTACACAGAACTGTTTTAATTAGATTAAAACATTCTCAGAGTAGAAGATATTTGATGCTTCATCCAAGTTGTTTCAGAGTGATTTGTGGATATTCAAGTAATATTCTTGAACGTCTACAACTCCCCATGGCTCCCCTGACCCCTGACAAAAATCAGAGTCAACATGAGATAAAACACGGCATGGAAGCACATGCCTTCATTGGATATTGACTCCTATATTGACCAATATGAACTTATATCTATTTATTTGAATGGAACAGTGTGCATTAAAAAACTAAATACACCAGAATGTAGCCTTGGGATAATTTAAAAACAACGTTGTACCACAGTCACGCTTACACACCCAGTCCCCCTGAAATATTGTGCATGTGTTAGTGGTAGGAGAAACCTACAGAGAAAGAGGGAGAACATGCAAACTCCACACAGAAAGGCCTTGTCTGGCCTAAGAATAAAACACCAGACATTTCTTGCTGAGAAGCACAAGCTCCAATCACTGTCCAATCACATAACGTCTCGAGGAGGGAATTCAAATAGAGATTATGAAAATTAACTTCCCCCAGGTGGAGATGGGGGAGGGGAGCAGGTCTGTAACTGCGTCAGCTGAAGATGATTCATGATAGCAAATCTTAAATGATATTGTGGCTCAACAATATCCTAATTAAAATGGTGTCATTGTATTTCTTATTATTATCATTAAATAGTTTGAAGACTGTTGAGAATGTCAATAGAGTAGGCATTTTCCACAGCGCCTTAACTTTTGTTTTCCTTCTCTACTTGACCTATGTAGCGGCTGCACGCACTGTAGTATTCTGCCCTGATGACAAGCTTCTTTTGTCAGTTCAAAGACCTAAACTACCGTAAAAGCAGCATCTCTGCGGCCAGACACACTCTGCTCCCTCTGTAACGTCCGATAAAACAGGACCCTCCAGCCTGCCTTGTTTTCCTGGGTAAACATGCGTGTCACAGCTGACCTTTCCCAGGGTCAGTTGGCTTTTATATTGGCTGACATGTTTCCAACTTAATAGAACTGTTTAGCAAAGCTCCCTTGGGCCTTTAAATTTATTAAGACACAATGAGTTGCATCTGTCTGGTTAAATCAAGACAACCAATCAGGGCTGTTATAAAAGAGATATATAGATACAGGGGTAATTCAGACATATGGTCACCCTAGCCACACCAGCAGCACAATTTAATTCTAAATGGGTTTATGTTACTGTGATCATTCATCCACAAAAAAGTGTAATTTATCATGTCGTGCAATCACAAATCCCTTAAGTTTGTTGTTATGTTGAATGTATATATTTTCTGGTATTTATTGTATCTCTTATTTCTCGTACTCAGTGGAGCACTATACGGAAGAGTATGTGGTGTAGTGTCTTCTGTGTTGTTTTCTAAGCAGTTTGCTGATGTGCATTGATTATCTTTGTCCAGTCTTTGTACAACACCCCATAATGCTGGTCATTTTCTTAGACTGATTTTAGGCCCCTGCCTGGTAATCAGGGATAATTGTCAATTATCACAAGGAACCGTCAGATCAATTACTGCAAAATCAATGCAGCCACTTGGCTCTTAGCGCTTCTTTCCTGCACCTAACACACCTAGTGGTCAATCTAAGGACTCTCTAGTCTAACATAAGCCCAAATGAAATGTATTGGTGGCTCGCTTTCCCCTTGTGTGCTGCAGAATGATGGCAGGGGCCATGGTTTACAGTCATGTCTGAAATAGCACTCTGGCTGTTGTTTTATAAGACCTAATGGAAAAGCAAGTATTGTTACCCCTTAAACTGAAGGCTGTGTATTAGATCTTCTCTTTTATGAGTGGCTTCTACAAGCCTCTATTTCTCTAGACTAAGATGACTTTTGTGATGAAAGCTAATGTCTGTGCAGGCCTTATTTTCCACTCAGCCTTGTGAAGGAAAGACACTATTCGCTCAATGGCTTCCTGTTTGTATGGATACAAATGTGCTGCTGTAATGGAATTGCCCGGTCAGCAGCCTAATGTATGATCTGCTGCTCAGCGTGTTTATTTACACTCAACTACCCTCTAGATTGGCTTGTCATCGTAATGGTTGCCATTAATCTGTGGTCCTGCAGCTTGAACCAGTTACTTTTAGTGACTTTTAATAGCATTTATGTTGGTTAAAAAGAATATTTGTTGTTGTATCACCTCAGTGTGGTGTACTGTCTCTATAGTGACTGTTTTTTGCTTTCACAGAGCGGCTCTTATTGTTCAAGGACAAATCTGTTCTACTTGGACAAGCTTTATCAAGACAAATGGTAAGGTTATCTTTACATTTATTCTAGCATTTGTAATGTTTAACAAGACGATATTGTGTCTACATGTTAGATATTGGATCCTTGTTTAAAGGAGGCAACAAGACACTGTTGTCCATTTTGATATACGTCATTTGAACCATAATCTTTCAGATTGAATTCTCACAGAGATTGTCGTTAAGCTTCTGTCCAAATTGTTCATATTTCATCCCAGCTGAAAGACAGTGCCATTGAATATAATCACACACACACACTTACAGCATCAGACCAAGAGAAAACAGAGTGTGCACTTTGTGCACAGCTATTTATATCAATAAGTCCCGTGCTGAGAGGCACAAAATGAGCGTTTAAGCTGCAGGCCCAGAGCTCAAGAGCAGGTGGGCAGGCTGCTTGTGGTGCCTGGGCAGAGGTACTCACTCTTTACAGGTGTTGCCCATCTCTGCGTGCTGCCATGGTTGGTTTTGGTTTGGGAGGCAGTGGGACAGCTGGAGCAGCAGGCTTCAGGGAGATGCTGTCGGGGCCTCCGCAGGTCAGTGCTTCTACCCAAAGGGACGGCAGAGCGAAACGCCATCAATTCACAAACAAAAGAGCCACTTCACCCGCCACAAAGGAAACATATGTGATAGAGCTGCCTCCCGAGCCGCGGCTCACTTTAACATGTCAGCCTCTCCTAATTAGCTTTGTTAACTCCCTCTGCTGTCTGCCCAACTGAGGCCTCGGCACATGTGGGCTGTGTTTACAAGGGCAAATTTTGGTGCTGGGCCCACAATCTACATATACATTAGTCTCACACTTTCTCACACACGTTATTAATTCAAAAATGAATAAATATCTCTATATTTTAAATGAACTTAACAAACCATTGTTCAGAGGAGTTTTATTGACCCAGTATTGATGCATTGCAAGCAAAGATAGCACTGTGGCTTGAACAGAGCACAATATGGGGCTTAGTAAAACCACTGCTCTTTGTGGACTGACAGAAGAAGTGTTTCTGAAGAGAACAGCTGCACCTGAATCTTTATCTAGATGTTTCGGAGTCATTACAAGGCAGACTTCAGATAGGTTCTGCCATGCATTACATATTGCTCTGCACATTGAGCCTCATGTGACCCCTGCTGCTTAGACACTGGCAGTGCAGTTTAGGCAGCGCTGGAACATGGGCCGTGACACCTCACTGTGCTCTCATTGAGGAGGGGCTGTTGACTGATGATCTGAATATTGTTCTGCAGGACAAATGCTTGTTTACAAACAGAATGTTTCATATGTTCAACTGTTAAGTTGTTGTTGATGACGTGTTTGATCAGTATTTTAAAGAATTACACTTTATTTTCTTTTGTTTTTTTTATTTTGATGGGACCATGAGCATTAATGATCAGCAGGTTCTGTAATTACACCAGCTTGTAGCCTTGGGCTAATTTCCATGGGTTGGTTAGTATCCCTGTGTGATTAGAATATGTATTCCAAAAACACTGCAGAAGTTTTTCTGTACAGTGGACTATACTATTTAACAAAAACATGAAATGGAGCTTTTGGCCTTCGGCTGCCAGACAGTCCTGCTCTTGAGAAGCAGCCGGCCCAGAGCTGTGTGACTGCTGCTGACTGAGTGTCATGATCCCAAGATCTCTGCTTTCTCTTTGACAGCGAGGTTTGAAATTCCTGGGTTAAAAGTTCTCTGAGATGATATCTCAGAAGGCTTTTGTGATGATGGTTCATGACAGGTATTGCGTCAAGCGGGTGAAGGAATTCTGCTGAATGGGTTTGCTGCATTGAACTTTGGAAAATAGCATCAATGAACCGCACCTGTGCGGTTCTATAAACTCTGCATTTATCTTTTATATTGATCTTTTCTCTAACCATAGCTCTGAGAGATAATCCTCACCTAATTCTTAATGCACCATATCATTTAACAATAATGTATACATTTGATACCTAAAGCTATTCACTACACTTTTAGTCAATGCTATGACATTTCCAGTACCCTTAGAATAACATGCGAAGAAGGGCAAAAGTAGAATATTAACAGAGCAAATGTGTATCAAAATATGGCATTATTCGCTGATAGGTGAAGCATACATTCTTTGACATGCCTTGGCAGCTCAATGTATTCTACACAGCCACTGGCAGCCATGACAGCAGACTCCATTTTTGTTCCTTCTCTCCTTTTTCTTGAATACTTAGAATAAAAATCACAAGACGTGTTGTGGAGGAATACCAAGGTAACAGTCTGGAGATGTCTGGCCAAAAGGGATTTGTCCCTCTAGGTACAAGGTAGGGAACAGTATGCCCTTCTACTTTGCATTTCTGAAGTGCTTAGCTGCCCAAGCATGCTCTACGTGGGCTGCTCTCTTGAAGTGTGTCATAGCGTCATATGACCGCTGTGCTGGTGGCTCACTGTTGGACTTTCCCCAACAAATATGGATTATGTTAAAGTGGGCTGTGAATTGACGAGAATATGCTTATACGTCCCAGATGGGTCAGAGCAGAGCAGGGCCGGGGACACACAGTGTATGGCAGTGTTTGGCAGGTCCATCATTCCGTCATTAAAGGCCACATTATTACTTACAACATCACTCGCATGACAATTACAGGAATAAATGTGGCCCGCTGAGCTTCTCTTGCCCTGTCTTTTTGGTTTCTCTTCTCAGTTTTTGGCACTCAGCTTGTCTGCCCTGTGTAAGGACTTTGTGCTCTCACCTTGTTCAAACATCAATAAGACAGTCTATTATCGGCTGAGACCATTCATTAAAATAATGAGTAGCTTTTGCTTAAATTGATAACCAATGCTCGTTGATGAGGCATTATGCAGTTGTGGATAAAGTATTTGGCGCATTTCTCCCTGAACTAAAGCACCTGCATATTTATTTTACGGATGCGGACCTGCTCCAGAGCTATTATTCTTTTGCTGCGAGGGCACCAATGAGCTGTCCCCTCTGCGTTATTATTGAACTAAGGTATTAGGATTTCAGCTGCACAAGCACAAAGATAATGGTGGCTTATGTGTGAGTATGCATTTGGGACAGGCTTTGTCCATTTGATGCAAAAAGCCAAATAAGTGTCACTATTTATTACAACATTATCTACAACAAACGATAAAGATAGTGTTTTCAATTACACTTAAGAGACCATATTGGTTAATTTACCTTGGTAGATAGATATCCCTGTTTTTGTAACATATTAGAATATTGTTAAAAAGTCAATTTACTTCTGTAGTTCAACTTCATCTGTGAAAGTGATATATGACTCATTAAACACATAGAGTGACATATATCAAGCCTTTATTTGTTATAATGTTGATAATTGGCTCAGAGCTCGTAAAAAACCCTTATGAAAATAGGCTGTGAGCCGTGAGCCATAATCATCAAACGAACAAAGGCATAAGTCAATTTGTATATGAGTCTGTAACATAGACTAGTTTCACATTTTAAGTTGAATTACAGAACATAAAAACATTGTGTATACGTAAAATACATTGTGTAAAGTCCTCTGAGATAACTATTCTTATGATTTAAGGCTATACAAGACAACAAAATATTTGAATTGAATTGGAAATGAAAAAAGGGATGTACAGACAAGAAAAAATAAAACAAATACAGTATGCTAAATTGTAACTGCATGTGCACTTGACTTTACCGTTGTACGTCTAAGACCTTTGTAAAGACGTATTTCGGTGATGAGAAAATTACTACTGACACCACAACTGAGTGAATGAAGGATTATCATGACAAAAATGGCAAAATTAAGGCTGTCAGGCTGGGCTTTGAACCCTCTCTGGAGACTGAGCTGGGTGGGTGGAGAGCCAAGGGGAGGGGCGGTTGTTAACATTGGTTACAGACTTCTACATGCTGTATTTGCTGGGGGCATTGTTAGCACACCGCCTCCAGCCCTAAGACTTAGTCCGGCCCCAGCAGACGCAAACTGCCCGCTGCACACTCACACATGCACGCACACAAAAGGCACGCGCCCTGTCTACCGGCAGCCACCCCTGGACGACCAAAGAATAGATGCCTCGGGGCAATTCTGCTGGTGTGGATCACTTTAGATGAGGCACATTAAATGGCGAGTGATAAATTCGGCATGACAATTGCAAACACCATCGCTTTTGTCTGTAATTAATTTCAGTGGTGCCCCAGGCCTTTCCCGTGCTGCGGTTGGTGTGGGCCAGCAGTGCTTTCCTAACGAGCCCCCATTACAGCCAGGATTATAGCCTAGATAAAGGTACAATTTTGTTCTCAAACAAACATGACATGTCTCACTTCTCATTGGGGGCAGCAAAATATGCCTTATTTATAGTGCATTAAAACTACCTGATACATTACTCAAACTCCGCAAACTTGAAACCATATTCACCTTTACAACTGTGGCATAGATGTTCAAAGCACCCCTCCACCAAACTACGTTGGTACGACGTGTTCAAATAGGAATTATGGCAAGTTATTAATGTTAAGATTTTATTGATGGAAGTGAATTTTCCAATTAAAAAGCTTGAAATACAAACCCTCAGGGATCTTATTTGGTTTCTGAATCTTACTTAAAGTAAAGTACTCGACTCTCGAGTTGCACACTGAGAGAAGAGAAATGTGTTTGCAGATTAAGGCATTGGCAACCCAGATCAAATGTAGTGTTAGTTATTATCACATATTATAACAGATGCCATATTTGCTATAATTATAGCCAACATATGGAACGTTTTGGCGAGAAACTGGCCTGATATCAAGGGTTTGAAGCTTAACTGAATGATGGTTGCAGATTCAAATCTCAAGTAATCTCTGTGTGTATTTATTATGTACCTGTGACTGTATGAATGTGCGCTGCAACATTTCCCCACTGAGGGATGAATAAAGAATCTCTTAATTTATCTATTGATTGTACTTCTAAAATCTGTCAATTATTAATGATTGCACACTGGTGTGGCTTTTTCTATTTGTATGCATAGCTTTGAAGGAGTCTATATGACTTGGTATACTGCTTAAAGCTGTGAGTCTGAAATTAAGGATGAGACTAGAGCTTAGTTGTGATAATGATGAATTGGTGCCGAGCAGTAGAAATTATGAGCCTGCAGATTGCACTTTTAATATTTGGTCCAATGGGTCCTACAACTCTGTTCTTCTCATTCAGGATAATGTGAAAGCATTAATTAACGGCTTGTACTTGTGAGTAGTTTTATTACAGCTAATGTCTCTCATTAGGTGAAATATAGATAGTGAAAGACATAAAGGGAAGCCTCTGCAGCATCATTAATCTCAACTTCACTTATGAGAGCCCTTATTTCTCCTGAACTTGCTCTGTAATGTTGTGTCCAGGCAGTCAGTGTTTACCAGCCTCTCTCTGCCGCAGAGTTCAGCTCAACACATCACCAATCTGTGTCATTACTCTGTCATTGCATCAAATCACATGATTAGCTTCAGGGGCAGTGGAGGAGGCCTGCTCGGGGCGTCTGGCCGTGGCGGTCTCGGGGTAATGGTCCGGTGGCACTGTGATGGAGGGGTGTATGCTGTCCTCTACAGGGCCAAGGATGCGCCATCATTCAGCCTGGCCAAGATGGCCTCAGGGTGAAGTGTGTGTTTCACTACTCAAGGTACACTGAATATACACTTACTTCAGAGGGAAAATTATATTGAAACATCAGAACAACAAAACACAATGTGCAGCAGTGTGGTCCTGGGCTATATATTTATATATATATATATATATATATGTTAGATTGTTGTTGCTAAACCTGAGCAGCATGTCGTCCTGGGGTCTTTGCAAAGCCAGTCCGACAGTTTGTCGATGTTGCCGTTTATAATGCAAAGCCTTATAATTATCTCACACTTGCTCATTTCACACTGACGTATCGTTTTCCTAAATGTCAGTTGGAGCAGCCATTGCAGTTGAGTGCAGCTCCAGAGAGCCTCTGTGCACCCTGCACACAGCCATGATGATGGCAGTGCTTTAGCCCTGAATGTGCAGCCCCCGCCGGGGAATAGCAGTTCAAGCATCACCGATCGTTGACCTGGCTATTGTTGTTTGTGATACTTACTGGTAAACTTTTGCAATCAATACAACATCAGCCCGCAGAGCCCCAGGGAATGAAAACCTGAAACAGCGCACTTAATCTTGGAGCCAGCCCCTGCTCCCTGCTCCACTGCTAAACTAGGTAGTTGGCCTACTTGATGCGGCATTATTGCTGCAGAGGTCAGATGTGAGCTGTCTTGCACAGCATCTGATGAATGGCTGTTTTTGATAAAGCGTCTCTCCCATCCAACAAGAGACATTTAATAATGATAGACCATAACTGTACACAAACACACACACACAACCACAAAAAACCTTGTCGAAGAAAGGGGAAAAAAACTCCTGCCGGCCTTCCCTCCCCACAGACCGTAAAACTGAACTGTACACTGATAAGGCACATTGCGCCTCTGTCTGCTGTATTTAATATTTAATGATAAGATAATATAATCTTTTATAATTACTTATGATATATATATCTATATAAAATTATGTCACATTTTGGAAATGTTAAAAGGCAAAATTGTTCCAAAACCACTACAAGAACACCTGATTTCTTGTTAAATGCTGTGCAGTTACCACTTACTAGTATATGTGTCCTTGTAAATAACACTATATGTTCATGAACCATCATCACCAAAAAATAGATTGTTCAATCTCATTTTTTATGAAAGGGGGGTTTTTGAGTAATTTATTAAATCAATGCAGTTTGTTACAGATGTGGATGCTGAAAAAGCCTTCAGAAGTAGTTTATTTATCAAATCTTTGAGTTGTTCTGAGACAGTGTCAGAACTAATCTGGAGAATATGGATCACTATCTGAAGGATCTTAAAACCCAATTGTAATTGTTTAATGGTGAAGGCAACAGTTTAGCGTGAAAAACACTAAAACATTTAAATTTCTGTATCTCGCTCCATCTGTTTGCAACTTTTCTCACTCTGGATTTTTGGACTTTCCCCACTTGGGAATGGGTTTAGATTGTAAATATTTTGTTTTATGAAAAACGACGTGATCCTTGGCAGAATAGTTCAAATCAATGGCATATTTTAGAATTAAAATGATAGTGAGGTTTGTATATAAAAAAATATTTTTTTTTATATAAAATGTTAATAAAATATTAAAGAAGGAGATTATATTATTAACTTATCTTTGATACAATAAAACTGCATTTACAGTTGTCACATTAACCAACATGTCAAATCTGCCACAGTGTTCTTGCGTAATATGCAATGTTTAACTTTAATTGCCATTACCTCAGCACTGTGTAGTGATGTATTCAGTAAAGAATAGTGTTAAGTAGTTGCATTATGTGAATGTGTAGTGGGTAATGCAATTTAACGCCCAGGCTGAGCCTGCTCTTGGGCGTCTTTGGAGATACATATAAGATAATTGAATGTCTTTCAAAGAATGAATGATCATTTAACTCCCGTGCTAGTCAAAGCAAAAGCTTGCAATTTCACAATATGCCATTGTGATGAGCTATCAAATCAGTGTGTATTAAACTTAAGTGGCACTAAATAGAGAGCCCACCTTTCAAATGAGGCAGACTGTAAAAGCTATAGTGAAATTAAATGCCATTCTTAGGAAACAATACCCAAAGCATTCTGACAGCTTTGTCATAGACAAAACCTTTAGTGACAAGAATAACAAATTAATTGGAACCATAACCATGGCTCTAAAGGTGAGGTAAACACACCTGACTGTAGATTTTTCACTATCAGTTAAATCTCAATTGGATCTAAAAATAAACCCCAAGACATTGAACAGTTTAATGGATTTTGACGTCTCTGCATTATGCTGTCACTCTGCTCTAAATGAATCATAACTTTGCCCTGCACTGAAGAATTACCATGCATTTTGAGAAAATACATTGCGCGGCGAACTGTGAATTATGATGCGAGATCAAAATAAATGTGTAATGACTTTGGAGATGCCCAGAATAATTTATTGGGTGGAGATAGTTCATATTGAAAACCCATCTTAAGTGGAATACAGAGGCAGTGTGCCCCGAATGTGTTTGAATTGTAAAATGTCAGCGTTAGATAGGCACCCAAACGGCCTGTTTACTGAAGCTTGGTAAATGAGGGCTTCATTTGGGATGCAGCACTATTCAATTATATGGTTATTTATTGATCAGAAACATTGTATGTCTGTCTACGCCACGTTAAGATGAATTCAGTGGGTGAAAGGGAAGTGTCAGGGAAATTGGCCCATGAAGGATTGCATTTGATCTGGTGGGGAATTTGAGAATGGAGACCGAATACCCCAGTGTTCAGAAACAAGCAAAAGTCTTGATGCAATTAAAGTGTCCTCACAATAAAAGGGAAAGTGGGATTTCACAAATAAATGTAAGTGAAGTGTCTAACTTTTAACGTTACCTCTGTATATGGACTACTGGGAAACACATACAAGTTAGGTGGTTTAATTATTCACTGTGGACACACACGTACACACATTTTATGAAACATTTAATTGCTAATAGTTGGTGTGTAGTGTAATGTTTGGTGGCACATACACACAAATTTAATTGCCCTTATATTTACTATGTCACCAGGTCATTGTATTTTGAAATTTCTTTAGTGCAGACATTCTGGATCATTCTGTGGGTTGTTGCAGTCGGGAGAATGAAGTTGCGTTGCCGCTCTTCTATTTGCTCATTTTCGGGGCTCAGCTGAAGAGCACTGGGGTGTGTGATGCACCACTGCACTCACTTTACATGCCCACTGTAAACACTGTCTATTATATTATTCACTCCAGTGTCCTCCAGAGAGATGGATCCCGCCGAGGCCCCTCTGAATATGGAGCAGCAGCCATTGTGCCTCTACCTGTGCTCACGCCGGTGCTGCGGCCCTCTGTGGCCCTCAGATACTTCTCGTTCAGATCTCTTTAGTTGGGCTGGAGGGTAATCCCTGGGCAGCCCGGGCTCCTCTGTTGTCTCCTGGTTGTTTTCTGTGTAGTTCATAAATTATAGATGGGCCATGTCGAGGGCCATCATGCTGCCTGATCCCTGTCTGTGCTGACAGCTGTATGATGCGCACTGAGTGCAGCAGATTGGGAGCTCAGAGTTTCATCAATAAATATCACTCTGACCCTCACACTTGGCCTCGTGTCAGCGGTCAAGGTAATGGCTTTTTATTATCGTGAAGGGCAGCCCAGCGTGGGGTAGTCTTAAGGTTGCTCGTCCATCTCAGGTCCGCAGACAGACAGAGAAGAGAGGGGGTGAGCTGCAGAAAGTTTAAGTGGACTGAGCTGTTATTATGTGAAGCTGAGGATGAGTGGATGGCTTTGACAGTGAACAGCAGGGTGCTTTTGTGTGCTGCTCCAGAGGAAGTAGTGATTTTCACAGACACATTATTGGATTAAATTAACCTTATTAACCAGCTGTGATGAATATTATTGAGCACTCTGCTTCACACTGATCTCCTAAGAAAATGTGTGCAAATGTGTTGCTCCTTGATTTGTCTGAGCCAGTGTTGGAGCTAAGAGGCAGTTTGTGAGGTTGCACTAACTGCCTGCCTCTCAGATGACAGCGCTTCAAATGCCATGATGGTGTACTGAAAGCCCAGGCAGCTGGACATGAGGCATTATGTCTTCAGAATACAGGTTTTTAGAACCAACAATAGAGAACAGAGCAGCATTTTGTCTAAAGTTCATTCATCAAAACGGTGCATATTTTGAAAAGGGTAAAAGCCCCACACAGCGCTGTCAGGGAAGCGCAAAGGCTAGATACTATAGATTACTTTAATCCCCTGCCAGATATAAAAGGGATAATTACATATTTGTGGTGGAGGCTGTGTGCTGAAAAAAATCAATAGCGCCTTTTTGTATGACACTTCATTAGTGTGAAAAAATCTGAGCTGAGAAGAACTGCACTGCAATTAAATGGTTCTGCTACCTTAGACTTTGTAATGGCTCTATATTATTATCCAGTTTATTTGAAATAGTGGTTGCACTTGTGATGTAATTGGAAACCATTGATTACGTACTTTTATGTCCACACTCTTGCACATCATTATGGAGAGAAGCAATAGTTAGTTAGCCTCTCTAATGAAGCACTAATTGCACTAAGTAGGTTAAGATGTTAGTCAAACTGCACTCAGCTGAAATCACGGCACAGAGACTTCCAATTAATCTGTGTACACTGACTTGCAAATGTGACTGTGGAGGCTGTTTGTTTGTGTCTCTTTGTACTTCAATCCAAACCGTTTTTATTTTAGACCATTGGCAGAAGGTGTAATTGATGCTGAATGGAACATCTAAGGTGAGGGCCAGCTTGTGGCGCTTTTGCAGAGAAAGTGTAATGTGCAGCTCCTGCCTGATAATGTCACGAGTCAGGACTGGCTGGTAATTGTCCAGGAGTGTCTGTTAACTCCTACTGCTGTGTTAACAATTATACAGAACCATAAAGAGGAGTGTAAAGCTCTGCACTTAGCTTAGCCCCTGACATCAGCGCCCTGGATTTACATGTACTGCATTGTTTAAAGAAGCGCACTGAGGTTGCGCACCTTCACATGGTGTCTTCTAGTCGAACTAAATGGGCTGTGTATCACAAATACAGCAAC